TTGCAGCGATGGAAAGTCTTTGTCCATTAGCATATGCGGATACAGGAAATTTTGCTACCCCACTGCCAAACCTGGGTCTAAATCTGGGTTAAAATATACTGTGCAAAAACTGCCCATGTCCACTTCACATTATAGCTCTCTGTCCATTATCACCTTTACTGACTCTTCATTGGCCATAGCAAAATTATTCAACAGAGTCAAAGCTATGGTATGGCACTGATGTAACCCTTCAGGGTGGATATTGCTCTATTCTGTATAACTAACTGTGGGATTGATTCATCACTTCAGACTAACTGCTTAGCTGTGTCGGCTGGGTAGGATTACAATGGCCAATGTAATGTAAAATGCCAGTGTAATGGTATTCTTAATTTATTGTGGTTATTTATGTTAGGGTGACACCTAAAATGATCAAAGGACATGTTGTGACATCAACTGGGCCAATGGGTTCTACTATAATTAATGATTATCCATGCCATAGTAGGGTCTAGAGGTCCCCATTGAGAGTGACCTACCACTATGTTGGGTGCTGTAAAAAATGTATTAGGAGGATGTCCTTCCCCATAGGGATTGGAGTCTAAGTAGATATGTAGACAAAGGGTGGGAGACAGGAAGAATTACCCTACTCATTTACAGAAAAGCAAGAAAGATTTAGGGTCAATTTTTTAGGAAAACTATAGCACTGCCTTCCAGCTAAAATCAAACCGAGTAGCAAGAGCTCTGCAGTTCTTCCAGTCAAACCCTAGGTAACTTTGCCAAGGGAGTTTGTGGCACAACAACATTGCAAATTGACTTTAGACCCACGTGGAGCCCTTGTCTAGTGGTCTGGCCATAGAAGTCCGTATGGTATATAGTACTGTGTGAAAGCACTCCATCAGTGGGAGGAGAGAGCACTGAGAACCTATGGTGGTTAATGCATTTGCACAGGGAGTATTTTGCAATTGCATGACCAGTTCCAGCCGCCTCTATCACGTTCGTGAAACAGGAAACTAGGCCAAGACGAGAAAAACAACAACAACCGAACCCTCATCTCTTGCATCATTAGTCAGGCTTGGTTAACAATCTTGACCTTTGTTTTCTTTCTTTTCTTTCTCTTAAGACGGAGAAGTGTTTTTTGCTTGACTCAAATCTTCCCTTCCTGAGGAATTGCAACAGAAGAAGGAGACATGGTAGGGTTCCTGGAAACCGTCTTAGCGTGCCTATTTCCTTGTAAGTTCTTTGAATACAATAATTAGTTAATGTTTTTCTGAGAATTTTTTTTTACAAACTTATAGGTGTGCTGCTTAAAAACAATTCTACATGATAGGATGGTATTGTCTTAGCATAACCAGGAATAAATAAACCTGCATACTACTTTCCTAATGCATAATGGTGCTTGCATAAGTAAGGAGGTGGCAAGCAGGGTGCCAGACCCAGGTGTTATAGGGGGCATAAAAAGAAAAGCCACTGGCACCACAGCCTATGCCATTGCCCTACGTGCTGCAACCGCCAACGTTGCGCAATTGCCCAGTTCATTCTCTCCTCTACCCCCACCTTTTGTGTTGATGTTGGATCATACATTATCTAGTTATTTATTCCTGGTGTGACTTAAATAGACTACTCACAGTAGTGAGCTCAAGGCAGTGGAGAATTGAGTCTAGTGTCCCATCCTCGTGTATACCTAGGTTTCATGAATAGCTGCATGTCTCTGTTATCTAGAGAAGGAAGATTGCTAGCTGTCATCCTCTCTTTTGCCTTCTAGATTTGCTGTGGGCCATCCACCTGGAGCAGATGCCAAGGGTAATTGTTCAGCAGTCCCATTCAAGTAGCACTGCTGTATTTACTTGCAAAATAACTGATGGGTCAAGCTCCACCTATGTCCACTGGTACCGAGTACTGCCTGGACAAGCGCCACAGAGACTCCTTTACCTCACTCTCGATGGGTCCAACGTGCAACGAGAGTCAGGCATCTCCCGGGATAAACTCTCAGCCTTTGCAAATCCCAGAGTCTGTACCTTGGAGATATACCAGTTGGAAAAGACAGACAGTGGGCATTATTACTGTGCGACGTGGGATTTCACACATAGTCATAAAACTCATGTGGGCCTGTACAAAAACCCACCACAACTCTAGGTGCAGTGCTCCATGCCCATCCTACAGCTGCAGCCATCCTACACTGAGTCCCACCCCCACCCCTTCATTCCAGCCTACAAAGCAGCCCAGCCTCAGTGCCACGTACCAACACAGGAGCCTTACATCCATCCAGCTCTGCCAACAAAAGCAATGCGGATGTTATTCATTGTTGGCTCAGTCATCACCTACCTCACCCAGGTGGGTGAAGTCAGTTCTGCTAGGCAGGCCCTGGAGAAAGCAGCCTGGAAGCCAATGAGCATTGACTGCTTAATGGGTGACAAGAAGAATTTGTGAGTAAGAGAAGGGACAGGTACCCTTCCTTCTTCAGGCTTGACCCCAGTCACGAGATAGGCTTCTCCTGCAACAAATTCACAGCCAATTTTGTAACCCAACGCACATGCCAACTGGTGGGACACTAGCTTGAAAATAAAGACATTGGCCAGTGTGACACTGCTGCATGAGCATAAACATGGTGGCACGGGCCTCTTCTGGCCTTGCAGAAAAAGCACTACAGGAGTGGAGGGCAGCTGAATAGGTTGATTCACACTCCCCAACCTGTGCTATACAGTAGAGCATCTCTTCCACACCTATCCTATCCAATACAATAGCATTATTTTCCCTTCCTGGAGGTCCCCAAGCTTAGACTGATGCCCTTCAAGGTAAATGGAGCTGCCTAACGAAAGGCACTGCACCTGCTTACCAGTGGTGGCTGAGCTAGTAAGCCAGCTGAAGCAGGAAGTCAATTAATGACTTCAGGAGGTCAATTAACCAGGGCGGGAGGCTCAGAGGATATATGACTGCAGAGTTTGTTAAATAAATAGAGAACAGGAAGGAAAGGAAAACGCCTAGTTTGTTTACTACAGAAAGCAACTTAAGCACACTGCAACACAATTTTCAGCAGGCTAGAGCACTAGTATACTCGGGGTTACCCCACTGGCACTTCCTGACTACAGCAGGTCTAACTTATATTGTTTTAAAATCACCTGTCTCCATGCTGCACCAGCTCTCCTGCCTTTGTCACCTCCATGAGTTATGCATTGATTCAAGCAAAGAAACCACAGTACAAGAATACAAGATGTGCTAGCGTTACCACCACGCTCCATCTCATGTTGTTTCCTTCTAGTGGCAATTAATCAACAGAAATTGGAGTGTATGCTGTACAATAACCTGTTTAGTTCATGAATTAATACATGTAGGCCCCAAGTCTGACCCTGGTTGCTGACACTGCACCCAGGGACATGGCATTACAATAATACAAGCAAAACCAGTTTTGCCCCACTGAACACGTAACAATAGTGGGAATAATAAGGTACAGGAGATTCGGGAATTGTCATGCCATAGAAAAGTGAATAAAACATAAAATGAATAGGTTGGCTCCTTTGCATGCATAATATGGCCAGAGCTCAGGGAGCAATACTGTGGAAGTTGTATGATTTTCGATGACTTTCAAGGGCTTCACTCCAAGGAAGCATGGCATGGCATTGACATTTCCAGAATGTAAATCTTTGTGGTGTACTAATCCCCGATGAACAATACTGTATAAAATTCCCTTCAATATTGCACTGATAATTAAAAAACCTTACTCTACTGTATATATTTTAATGATCTGGCACTGGTCTCATCTCTCTATCTACCTAGTTAGAGTAGGATGACAGTGCCCATCACCATGGTGGCACAGAACACAGTTCTGATGGTGGTGTCCAAGGAGAAATCATAGTGGAGTCGGCTTTCTATATGTCCCAGACTGAAGGAAAATCGATTTGCTTATGTCTTTATTTGCTTCTCTGTTTGTGTACTTTTTGAATATTCCAGTGCTGCAGTTTTTTGCTTTCTATTTGGAGAAGGAATATTTATTTAAAATAGTATTTCTAAAATGCCCATGTAGCAATACTATTATTAATGAACTGTTGTCATTGCTGCTAAGGTGGCACTCACATTGACTGGTCAGTGCCTTGTACTGTGCACTGAACAACTATATAATGGCAATATTCCCTTTCCTGTATGCTTTATAATATATATGTCTATAGATATATGCATAGATATATCCATATAGCTACACTTCTCAGACACTCCTATAGAATCTTTTTTCTTAGGTTGTAAAGCAAAGGGCCAGGCCCATTTGCACATGTGAGCTCCACTTAGGAATACAGAACCTCAGTCTTAATTGAAGTCTATAGGTTGTAGTCTACAGTAAATAATAATACATAAAGTGATTTGATTTTCATTATCTGAAATGTCCTTGGGTACAGCTGGGCCTCAACTAAGACTCTGGCTTCTTTGTGTTAAACACTTAGAAACACCTAGTGAGAGGCTGTCTGCACCCAAGAAGAATTAGAGTGACTCTAGATAGGTTTTTCAGAGAAAAAACGGAAGAAAGGGAGGAATATCTTTATTTTAGAGATAGGAAATTGAGGCAGAGAAATTTAGGACTAGCTTTTCAGAATGAGCCAAGTATGTGCCCTCTTGCTGAGGGCAGAAGTCAGTTGTAGTAGCAGGCATTATACACGTTTGTCAGTAAAACTCTACATAACTTGTCCCGGGTCACACAGCTGGTCTCTAACAGCTGTGGGAACTGAGTTGAGAACTTCAGAGTAGTACTTCAGTGCTGCAGCCACAAAAGAAACTGGACACACATCACTAAGTGAAACGCCTATTCAGAGGGAGGAAGAAGGCACTGAGAACTTGTTCTGATTAGTGGAAAACAGACACATGTGCAGGTAGTAATTTATAATTATAATGACAAATTCACAAATGAGCAGGAGTCCTTCTCTATTCTGTTCTTGCAACAGGAAACTCAGGTAAAACAAGAAAGCAGCAGCAGAAGTTTCCTTTCCTAATTTGCTTGCTCAGGATTACTGAAAAATCTCTCAATCTTTCTCCACTCTCAAGAGTGAGCAGTGTTGTCTTCATTTGATGTTCCCTTCTGAAGAGCTGCAGCAGGACAAAGAGACATGGTGTGGCTTCTGGAAACCTTCTTAGCATGCCTCTTTCCTTGTAAGTTTTTTAATTGTTACAGCTAATGTCTTTATTATATGTTGCTTATCATTGCTTTTCTATACAGGACTATGGAGCTGATACACCAGCCAAATGCAGCAATTTCATGCTGGTGCAAGCCCCGTGAAACCAGTACTATTGCAGCAGCTTGAAATGGGAGTAATGCAAATGGGTAAATAAGCTGCTCTCCCAATATGAAAGAGACAATAAAGCTTTTTCTCCACTGCTCTCTTATTCAGTTACCTTGGAACACATATTAGCTAATTATTTACACCTAGAAAGAGAGGGTGCAAAACAGAAATCAGCCACTCAGACTGAAAAGGTTTTACAACTTTTCCCATTATATTGCCCACATATCAATGGCCATAAGACAGTGGGTAGTTGAGCCCAATGTCCTGTCTCTACGTATACCTAGGTTGCACACACACCTACAGATCACTGCCCTCTGGAAAAGGAAGACTCCCAGCTGTCATACCCTTTCTGATGCTCTCCCCTCTCTGTCTTTTCTAGATTTGTTGTGGGCCATTGGCCTGGAGCAGGAGCCCAGCTTCATTGTTAAGCAGTCGACACTGGGCAGCACTGCCAGGATCACTTGCCATGTCACTGGTGGGTCCAGCTCCACTTTAATCCATTGGTACCGAGCACTGCCTGGACAAGCACCGCAGAGAATCCTCTACCTCTCTCTCTCTGGGGATAAGCTAGAGCAAGACATAGGTTCTAAGGACAAATTCTCAGCATATGGGAAGCAACAAGCTTGCAATTTTATAGTAAGGAATCTGAAGAAGACGGACAGCGGGGATTACTACTGTGCCACCTGGGACCTCCCACAGAGTCACAACCCTCTTCCAGCCCTGCCCAAAAAACCCAGCATCGTTCTTGGTGTGGGGCTCAACTCCTACCTCATTGCTGCAGCCAGGCAAGTAGAGCCCCACACCCCAGCATGTAGAGAAGCCTAGCCTCAGTGCCATATGTCAACAGGGCAGCCTTACCTCCATCCAGCTCTGCCAACTGAAGCAATGTAGATGTTAGCTGGACATGGCTCAGCCATCCCTCGCTTCACTAAATGAGTGGGACCAGCCTGCTTTCCTCAGGGCTTCCCTACCAGTGCTGGTTCCACCTTTAAAGACAGTACAAGTGAGTGCCCTGCCATGCCAAATATGCATTGACTACTTCATGAGTGACAAGAGGAGGTTGGGAGTGAAAAAAGGAGAGACAGCTACCTTTTCTTCTTCAGGCTTGTGAGCCCAACCAAGTTCTCTAGTGAACTGTTTCTAACCAAGAGCACATGCCAACTGGTGGTATATGAGCTAGAAAACAAAGGCACTGGCCAATGCCACTGTGTTGCATGTCACATGGACACACGTCATCTAGATCAGGGCTGTGTGGGCTGGATAAGGTTGCAGGGACAATCTGTGAGCTGTATTGGGCCCACAGACTAGCTCCACATGCTGGATGTAGCATGCAGGGCTGGTTTGATGCTAGTGCCACAACCAGCGTACACCCTGGACTTGCCTGGCATGCTATGTGCAGCACACTCATTGGATCCAGCCCTGTGGACCACATGCAGTCTGCACCAGCCCCTGCCCTGAGCACTGCACATTGCATGTGGGACCGGTCTGGGACATGTACTGCATGTAGCACCTATACTGGACTAAGCCTGCATGCTGGATCCTGAATGTGGGGCTGGTCTGTGGGCCAGATCCAATCTGGCCCCAAATCCAGAGCACAAGGCTGGTGCAGCTTAGGCGCTGTATACAGCAATCCCCCTGAGATGGCCCCATACTTCATGGGCAACACACACCTCAGGCAGTGTGTGTGTCTGCTCCAGTCTAGTACACCACATGTAGCATGTGCCAGACCAGCTCTGCACACTGCTGTTATTAAGATGACACCCAAATTGAGGAGATTCATTGTCCTGGTCACTGAAGAAAGAGAGGATGAAAAGGCTCCTTCTAAGAAATGCCTTGTAGGCTACATTTCATTATCTCTTTCTCCTTCCATCTTTCCTATGTGAACTCTCTTAGATTGTAAAGAAAGGAATCAGGCCTCTTTTCACATCTAAATAAGATTTATGATTGTGGGACCATGAGTGGAGCAGTGGCCTATGTGTTCTACTGTACCATAAATAGTAATAAATTATAGAAAGTTTTTCTTGTTATTTGTGATATTGTAGGGTACCAATTATGCTTGATCCTTGTAGCTAGAAGCACCTAGTGAGAGGTAGTCTTTTTCCTATATAGATTACAATTTAGATCATTGACACAGACAAAGGGTGTGAGAAAGGAAGAATTGTTATCCTTGCTTTAGAGGTAGGGAATAGAGGGACAGACTCAGGCGACTGGTAGGCGGGGGCACATGCCCCCCCCCAAGATTGGCCCCTAACTCGGCACTGCTCAGGACAAGGTATTTGTTCCGCTGCGTGGGCCGGTGAAATGTTGGGGGGGGGGAGGAGGTTTAGTTGGTACAGCTAATGTCTTTATTATATGTTGCTTATTATTGATTTTCTATACAGGACTATAGAGCTGATACATCAGCCAAATGCAGCAATTTCATGCTGGTGCAAGCCCCATGAAACCAGTACATGGCACAGAAGTATAGGAGTGGATATGGGGCTTTTGGCCCCTCCCTCCCCCTCCACCCCCCCGACTCAGGAGGCACCAGTCACCCCCGGGGACAGAGAGATTTGGGTATAGTTCTTTAGGAAGAACTAGACTTTTGGCTCTCTAACATAAGTGTATCAGTGTTGTGTGCATGCTGCTCACACATCAATCTGAGACAAGGTAACATGCCTGAGGTACCACAGGCAAGCCGTGGCAGCACGTGGAATTGAGTACTGCACTTTACAATGAGCCCTCATCAGGTGCCTTCACCAGTGAACTGAAGGAGAGAGACTTATCACTGTGTGAAACACTGCATCCGCAGGAGGGGAGCATGCTGAGAACCAGTTCTGGTTAGTGTGACACAGATGCATGCAAAGGGAGTCCTTTGCAGTCATATGACTGGACCCTGTATGAACACACGTATGCCTTTTATTACGTTTTTGCAACAGGAAACTAAACTGAGATAATAAAAACAACAGAAGCTTCGTCTCCTAGTTGGTTGGTCAGCACTGGTTCATGAACTTACATTTTGTTTTCTTTCTTTCTTCACTCTCTCAGGAGTGAACAGCATCAGCTTCATTTGACCTTTTCCTCCAGAAGAGCTGCAACAGAACAGAGAGACATGGTGGGGTTTCTGGAAGCCTTCATGGTGTGCATCTTTCCTTGTAAGTTCCCTGGACACAGAATTATTGTCTGTTATCTATTGTTCTCTCCGTACAGCCCTATGGACCTGATACTCCAATCCCAAACAGCAATTTCATGTGGGTGCCATCGCAGTAAAACTGGTGGCACTGAAATGGAATAAACTTGCTATAATGTAGTCAGGGTACTGAATCCCCCATGCTGCTTTCCATAAATAGTAATAACTTTTAAATTGTAGGAAATTATTCTTGTTATTTTCAATACTGTATGCAACTACTGTAACTGGTTCTCCACTACCTTCTACTTTACTGGCTGACCCTGGATCACACATTTTCTAATTCTTTATACCTGGGCAAAGAGGGTGTGAAATAGAAATGGAGAACTCACAGTTTTTGTAGTCATACTGCCCATGCACAAATGGCTACATAGGACACAGGAGACCTGAGCCCAGTGTCACATATTCATGTATGCCCAGGTGGCATGGACATTTACTGCTCTCTGGGGGAGGAAAACTCTTAGCTATCATCCCCTGTTTGATGTTGTCTCCTATCCTTGCCTTCCAGATGTGCTGAGAGCCATTAGCGTGAAGCAAGAACAGATTTCCATCACACAGCCAGCCAATCTACATAGCACAGTCAGTATCAGTTGTAAGGTGAATGGAGGGTCAGCTTCCACATATGTCCACTGGTACAGAGCGCTGCCTGGACAAGGACTGCAGAGACTGCTCTACCTCAGTCTTGATGGGTCTAATATAAAGCGAGACACAGGCTTCTCCAGGGAGAAACTCACAGCTGTTGTCAGGCAAAGCACCTGTACCTTGTTGGTGCGGAAGCTGGAAAAGACAGACAGCGGGCACTATTACTGTGCCACCTGGGAGTACACAGAGCCACAAACCTCTTCTAGCCTGACACAAAAACCCACCGCAACTCTAGATGCATTGCTTCTCTCCCACCCTACAGCTGCATCCAGGTAGCCTGACCCCACACCCACCCTCCAGCCAATAGCACAGCTAAGCGTCAGTGCCACACACCAAGACAGCAGCCTTCTGTTCATCCACCTCTACCATCTGATGTTTGCCAGTAATGGCCCACCTTCCCGAGTGAGAGAGACGAGGCTGCTTTCCTTGGGGTCTACCTATCAGTGCTGGCTCTACTGATATAAAGGCAGCACAAGACTGTGACCTATGAAGCCAAATATGCACTGACTGCTTAATGGGTGACTAGAAGAGGTTGTGGAAGAGAGAAAGGGAAAGCAATAGGGTAATTTTCTCACTGTAGTGTTTTTGGTGTAGTAAGTGGTTAGAGAAGAGGAGAGGTAGAACATTTTCTAGTGTGGAACAAGTGACTACCTTTTCATGTTCACTGGTTATTTTCAGCGTGTACCTGCAGCCATCACCGATGCAGAATGCAGGAGTTCTGCTGTTGCTGGAATACGTATAGGCACAAAATAACTCCATTCTTTGAGTGATTTTCCTCTCTCATTCAAGGGGTTGGTTCAGGGTTGACAGCAGTAGAACTTGTACAGCTTTTGAGCTCTTCATGTACAGGGAATCCTGGGAATTTCTTCCGAAGTTGCCAAAGGGCCCTATCATGCATCATCACACAGAGCCTCTGTGCGTCAGTCAGTATAAGACCTGGGCTCAATATAAGACAGGTGTCTGGATACCACTTTTACACCATCATGAAGTTGGAGGCACCTGGATGCTGATGCTGCTCCCAAACATGTCACATTTAGTGGCTGGCAATGGCTGACCAAGCATTCCCTCTTGCAGGGATCACTATCTTCTGGCAAATCTCCCCTCTTCCTCCCCACATGACACCTGCTGCTGCAGAGGGGAAATAAACCGTTTAGATTATGCTGGATTCCAGGAACCTTAAACTGCTTATTTCCATATTGTTGTTGCATGCCAGTATATCTGAATGCTCACGTTCTTGCACATTTGTCTTTGTCACAGCAAGAACACCATAGCAAACAGGTGGGTTTTTCAACGTGTCCTGTGGGCAAGTAGCATTTGCCTCAGCTCTGTTCTCTGATATTTTATTTTTTTCCCTGATGCATATAAGCCAATGAAACTGGATAATCCTGTATAACTTAACTATGTGTAGTGCTCGGTTAAGTATACAGTACTTGCCTATCACGCAAAACTTATTTTTGAACAGCCACAAAGGTGTGGTTCAGTTACAAACTCTTTTTGAATGCCGAATCTAAATCAATCTCCAGTCAAGTTCTTGGTGCACATATAAAGGAAGGCATTTTGTTTAGAGAGAAGCATGGACATAGGTATGGGTCTACACAACTCAAGGCAGGGGCTGGCCAATTTTACAGGCAGATCACAGGCCATTTTCACGGGTTTATCATGGTGGGGGTGGTCCCACACCTCTAATTGGCTGAGGGGCCCCAGTGTCCATACTCCCCCCCCGAAAGGACTGCCCATCATACAGCCCTTGCTCCTCACTGCTGATTGGCTGAGATGGCTGTTTGTCATGCAGACCTGCCCCTCAAAATAGCGATTTGAGTAGGTCCCTAGACGTAGGTCATTTTAAGAAGTGAGGAGATAGAACAGTTTAAGTACTAGTTCATTACTATGTAATTCATGGAATCAACAGCTATAAAGACCTGTTTGATCATCCAATTCATCTCACTGCCTGTATATACTTGTTTATTACATTATATTTTTCTAGTGTTTTTTTCCAGCCTAGGTCTCCAGAACGGAGCTTCCACCATTTCCCTTTGAAGATGATTTCACACCTTGTCTTCTAATTTCCTTAGTGCCTGCAACTCCTCCTAGTTTAAAATTATATTCAAAAACTATTAAAATATTGTTTACTTCTCCAGATGCCTAGGGCTTTTTTTTCCTTTCCTATTAATTAAAGATTGCAAAGCACTGAGAGCCTCTAACAAAAACTTCCTTAGCCTGTAATGTGCTGAGGATTGCTGAAGGCACCATTATCTCCTGCTGAAATTGGTGAGAGCTGAGGGACCTCAACACTTCCAGGTATGCTCAGTGGTTTTTCACAATTAAGCTTGAGATGAGCAAAATATTCTATTTATATCTACACAGTGCAATAAACACCTAATAAAGGGTTAGCACTTTGTCCTTGAGACTGGTTTTTTCCCTAATCTCTTGATCATTATACTAACCAAAAATATTTTTTTAAATGGAAATAGCTTATATTTCAAAACATAATCATCCCAACAAGTTCCTCAAGAAGACCCCATTTCCTGGGGGCTGCAGAAAGCTTGGAGAGCTAGTCCTACACACTGGCATCTTAGATGCCTTATGGCCATTCTCTGTTTTAGAAGGTGCTCCCTTATATATCAAAAAGCAACAGGTAAAGGTAAGAAATGCAGTGTCAATGATACATCTATCACTGACCCAAAGATTGATCCACTAAAGCAGTGTTTTTAGTCTTGTGATGTTTTTTATCATCATAAACTGTTCACAAACACATGTTTTACCACTGACAAAGCCACAAACACCCTTTGCAACAACACAGGATGCTTCATTTTTTCTTTATCTTTATGCTTTATCTTTAAAGCAGGATTCCCAACAAAACACTGTTTAAATTTCTGGCAGCTTTTGGATTGCAAATACCTCACCTTTATGTAACAAAGCTGTTGGATTTTTTTAAACAAGCACATTCAAAAAAGCCTTTTTCACCCTTTGTATTGGTAATGGGATTTTCAGGTATCTGCTGGTGGAAGTTGGAGCCAGGAGAACCTGATTTCATGAGTGACTTTAATGGAAAGTGAAGAGGCTTAGGACCATGTGGAACCATTCAACATTGATTATCAATGACCATTACAGGCAAAACACTCCTTTATAAGCCTTTTCCACTTCTTTCAGTGCAACAGAATTTAGTCATTTTAAAAGGGTTTTCTTCAGCTCTCAAGGGCCGCATCCAGACGAGCACAGCCATTTGTTTCCCCAGAAACAAGTAGCAGTGGCACACCTTGTGCCACTTCTACTTGTTCCTAGGGAGCACCTATGCCACTCGTTCTCTTGTGTGGCAGGTTATCTTGAGTGGGGTAAGCGAGGCTGGGGCCAGAAACTCTGCCTCACCTGGGGTGCTGGGGGCCTTCAGGAGCTGCAGCCATGGCGCTCCTGAACCTGGGAGCCTGGCCTGCAGCTGGAGCATGGTTCCCCCCAGCCAGGCTCTGGTTTTGGGTGGTGCGCACTGCCATGTGAGCCACCCCACTTTTTTTTGCCACGGCTTTTTTTTGACCCTGGGATCAACCCCCACCCCCCTCTCCCCCG